CCCTTATTGCTGATTGGCTACAAGTTTGTTTTGCTATTCGGCCCGAATCAGTTTTCTAAAGTGTTTTTGAAAAATCACATACCCTGCCTTTAAGTGCTTGTTTATTGCTGTTTACATCGATTTTTAAGTTAAATTTTTAAGAAGTAAATTTAATGTTTATTCTTTAATGAAATAGTTTCCCTGAAAATGAATGAATAAAAATTGTCCCATTATTTACTATATATTTCTTTAAATAAAATTGTTAAAATAAAATTTTAATTAAAATTAATTTTTAAAATAAAAAATTGTTTCTATCTATCTATCTATCTATGTATATATATACAGTGGGTACGGAAAGTATTCAGACCCCCTTAAATTTTTCACTCTTTGTTATATTGCAGCCATTTGCTAAAATCATTTAAGTTAATTTTTTTTCCTCATTAATGTACACACAGCACCCCATATTGACAGAAAAACACAGAATTGTTGACATCTTTGCAGATTTATTAAAAAAGAAAAATAAGTACGTAAAATAATTTTTTTTTGCCAAACGGCAGTCATTTTCTGTAAATCTACGTCAGTTATGGTTGCTTCCGGGCGAGCGGATTCTCCGCAGCTTTCTCGCCTCCGTTCTGTTGCTATGACTCGTCAGAATTATAGCACGTTCTCTGTGATTTGCTGGCCTGCGGCAGATTTAATGCGCGAGGTAAGCTGTTTGCGAAGCGCTCGCCCAAGCGGAAAAATGCGCTGTTGCTGCCAGATATCGATTTCCAAACATTGCATTGTGTTTGATGCAAAACCACTGTAACTGTATATTTTTATTTTCTCAAGCAAAGCAAATTGTAAAAGTCCACTGAACAACTTACATTTTTGGTCATAGACAACGTATGTTAAAGATGTACGTTATTGTCAACGTTATTGCCTAAGCGGTAAATAAAATTTAAAAAATGTTTATAAAAACGTGGGCGATATAAAATTTTAATAATAACAAACATATTGTTTTGCGTATGCTCGTGTCGCTTACAGTTGAAGTCCTTCTCTGATTTTATTATTGTTTGCAAGGTTGCAATGTTACTTTGCAATATTTTATATACTTTTGGGTATTTTGCATGGTCT